TTTTCATTTCTTTTTTTTATTTCTTAAAAATTATTTTTACATTTAGATGTATATAGTTGTATCATCATTTCTTACTTCTGATGTATCATCCACATATTTCAATGTATTAAAGAGTCTTCTTCAAATCCTGATGCTGCATTTTTCTTCATATAGCCCATTATCTCTCAGACTATTTGTTAGGCATGATGATGTTGTTGTTGTTGTTGTTGTTGTGATATGCCAATGAGTCAGAAGTGATTCATAGCTGACCCTCCAGCAGGTTTTTTGAGGTTGTAAATTACATGGTGGAGAGAATGCCCATCTTCCTTCTGTGGTGTAGCTAGTGGATTTGAACCGCCTGCCATTGGGTTATAGTGCAGTTCTTTATCAATTAGCCAACACATCAGGCATGTTGTTGTTGCGTGCCAATGAGTCAGAACTGACCCATATCTGACCCTTCGGTGGGTTTTCAGAGGCAGTTAATTGCACGGAAAGAGATTGCCCATGCTTCTCCCACATAGAAGCTGGTGGCCTCAGACCATGTGCCTTCTGGATTGCAGTGCAGCTTCTTGCACTAGGCCACAGAGAATACAGATGGAAGAATAAAATGAAAGGTGACAGCAGGGCTTCACACCTTTTCTACTTCTGAACTCACTGAGTCTCTTTGAAAGCTGCCTATTTCTAAAAGTCTCTATGACTCAGTTTACTGATCTATGCACTGGGAGGATGATGATGTCCATTGACTGTGTATTAGTATAGTGAAGATTAAATGAGGGGATAAACACAAGGCACTAAGCACATTCCCTGACACATGGAACCCTACATATCCCTCCCAAAAAAAGCAGATTGAGTTCACTGCTAGATTCAAACCTCTGACCTTTATTTGTTTAGTTCTACAAAATTTCCCTTGGAGACAACAGAAAATTAACCACAAAAGGCTGCATGCTGTCCTGCAGACTTGAAAAGGAGAATTCGCTAATATAATGACCAATACTTAGACTTTATGAATCAACACACAGTAAAGAACATAATAATAGTTGTATTAGAAGCATAATAATAATTGTCTATTTCCTTAAGAAATTAATAATGAATTATTACTTCAACATTAGGTTCAAAGATGTTTTTTGCTGTACCAATAGCACAATAATAGTTGTGTTTTTCCAAAGAAATTAATATTTAGTTATTAATTAAACATTGTTTTCACAGATGAAGTTTGGTACCTTTGCAAATTTTTATCATTATCAAGTTCTAATTTACCTCCTAAAATGTTAGGATGCTATTAAGACCTCGAATCTTCCTAAGTATTGGGCTACATGTCTTCTACATATAATGAAAATGATCAGGCAGTTATCTTGATTTTTACTTTTTCTCATTTTTGAAATATTCTTTTACACTTGACATCAGCATGCTGTCTGGACAGGTGGACTTGGATGTGTGTTTTACATCACAGCATGAGGTCTTTATAAAATTTGGAATTAGATCTCATTTCCAGAACCTAGTCAACTATATTATATATTTAAAATGAAAGTTATTGTGTTGTCAGAGCTACTATTATTCTGTAATGTAAAAGGTACAAAAGTACTTGAAGGAGCTTCTTTCTCATTTCATGCAGGCAAATAAATAGGTATCTATGTCAACATCCAACATGAGAGGAGGTTAAAATATCTCAATACGCTCCAAAATAGCATAATTATGTTTGGATAAATGAACTTTCCAACCTCCCCACACACACAGAGAAATGGGGGGGGGGAAGCTTCTGCATAAAAAATATGTAACTCAGTGGTCAGATATTTTGACTTAAGAGGGCAACGTTTTCATTGCTAAGTGATTAGAGCTTGATGGAGTCTTCTGTATGTAAATTAGAAAAAGGAGTGAGGAAGATAATGACCTCTAGATTTAATTAAACTTGTACAAGTCTCTAATTCTTCTGCAGGTTGATTAATAAAAAGTCCATGCTAGAGCACTTTCTAAGATGTGAATATATTTATCCTGTCATGAAGTAATGATCCACACAGACAAAACACCTTGCTTTTCTTTTAAAAGAAATATCCCTATTTCAGAGAAAGAGAATAAATTCTTTCAAGCAATGAGCCAAATATTTAAAAGGAAAGGCTTTGGCTTCATCAAACAGAATAAGGTTTTTTCTCAGTTCGACTATTTATTAAGTCTAGAACTTTATATAAGTTCTTGTGCTTTTTTTTGCGGGGGGGATATGTTTCTTCACCTCTACAAAAAAGACTGATTATAGCCTATGTAAAAGAAAAGAAACTTTGATAGAGCTGTGGATAAAGCATTCAGCTGTTAACCAAAACGGTGGTGGTTTGAAACCACCAGCTGTTCCTCAAGAAAAAGAGGAGGCAGTTTGCTTCCATAATGATTTATTGCTTTGGAAACCCTGAAGGTAGTTCTACTTTGTCATATAAGGTTGCTATAAATTGAAGTTGACTTTATATCAATGGGTTTTGATTTGTTGTATTTGTTTTAATATATAGTACAAGTGGTACGAAGACTACCTGGAGTAGTTCTTGCCTGTGCTTGGCACAAAACAAATGTCCAATAAATATTGTTATTGTTGTTTGCCAGTCAGTTGGAACTGACTCATAGCTGACTCTTCAGCGGTGCTCAGAGGCAGTGAATTACACAGGAGAAAACTGACCATTTTTCTCCTGCACAGCAGCTGGTGAACTGTATGCAGTTCCTTACCATTAGGCCATCAGCGCTCCCTCAATAAAGATTCATTTTTATTCTAATCCAGTAGGAAAAGTACTCCATTCCCATGCATGACTCTTTACTGGTGCCTCTACATCTTTCTAATGCTCTGTACTGTCACCAAAGGAGCCCTGGAAGCTGGCCATTAAAAGTTTGGCATTTGTAATCTACCAGATGCTCCAAAGGAGATAGATGAGGCAGTCTACTCTCATTAAGATTTGGGACATTGGAAACTTGGTGAAGGTTCATTAGAAGTCAGGATTGAACAAGTGGCAAAGGATATGTTTGGGTCCTAAAACCAAAGAACAACTGCACATACAAAAAACTCAACATAAAATGAGAGGAGAAGAAATACCAGTAGCTAGACAAAATCCCCTCTCTGCTATTGACAGCTGGTTGTCAGTTCTGACTCATAATAATCCTCCACTGGGTTTCTGAGGGTATAAATAAAAATGGGGAGAGATTCCTGAACTTTCTCCCAAAGAACTGCTGATGGATTCAAACTACTAGAGACTTCCAGCCTTTAGGTTAGCAGCACACCTCACTAAGGACTATGCCCCCAGACCTCCCTAGTCATTCAAATAAACACATATTAACTTGAATAAAGAGAAAGACAAAACAAAATAAAGGGATGAGCAACACAATATCACCTAGAAAGCCTAGAAGATACAGACAGCTGCACAAAAGATGTTGGTAACAAGGGTAAGCATACAATGATGTACATGCAACATTTAAAAACAAAAACTCATAAACCTATAATAGTAGAGAAAAAAAATCTTTCAGGAATAGTATTATAGAAAGAAAAAGAGTTTAAATTGATTAAAAAGGAATCAATCTTTAAAAGTTGAAACTCTAATATAGTAACTAGTTGCAAACAAACTTCTCATTAACATCAGACTATTGACCATAATCTTTGCACAACTAGAGGTCCCTCGTTGTCACAAATGATAACCCTTGACTAACAGCCTACAGGTTGGAGGCTTGAACCCACTCAGTAGGCTCACAAAGAAAGTCTGGCAATCTTGTTCCACAGAAATCACAGTCATGGGCAGGAAAATTAATAAAAGGCTAAGTTGAGTGAGGGGAAAGGCAATCTACAAAAAGAAGTTGATTAGGCATGATAATAAAAAAAAAGGGGTAATAGCCAAGTCACCCACAGTGAGCAGTTCTCTCCATAACACAGAGGGTTGTCATGAGGTTGACCCTCCAAGACAATGAATGCTTTTGTTTGTTTTTCCATAATTCACGATGAGCATGGCAATTAAATTAAAAGTAGTTTCATCTCATTATTTTCCTGTTTGGACTTCCAAAGTAGGGTCTTTTCCTAAATTTTCTTTTGCAGCCATTAAGCAGAATTCAAAGTTGAAAATATAAGTATCTATCTTCTAAGAACAGAGATTAGAACACTATTTGAAGAGTATTTCTTTCTTTTTTTCTATTTCTTTTCTTATTTATATTTTTAAAATATTTACTTATTAATTTTAATGAAACTTTACAGAGACTTAGGATTTCCAGTCATTCATTGTTGCATTTTTCTCCTTACACCCTGTCTCCCCCCAAATCACTTTTCTCCTTGAAAAGAAAAACTCTTTCACTGTTATGAAATCCCTCCCCCCAAGTCCACTCCACTAAGCAGCCTTCACTCTGGACTTTTGTAATGACAAGAATACCCATTCATAACAATACCCTTTTAGGAATGATGTCTATTGCATTGAAACAGATGAGGGAGAGATCTGTTCAAAAGAGTATTTCTTTTGTCATACATTCATGTGTTATAGATTTATTTCTGTCTTTTCTTAAAGTGAATGATAAAGACAAATACATTGGACTTAGAGGAGAACTTTGTCTGTTTTGGAAAAGATAAAGCCATAGCAATGGAGCATTTAATCATTGGAAACAGAGAAGTAAGAAAGATCAACACTAAAAGTAGTAAATTATGTAGGAGAGCTGGGATAATAAGGTATAATTGGTTTTGCATGAATGAAAATTAAGGAGAATTAGGAGACTGTAAGATAAGAACCATTTCTTTACCAAAGAAGATCCCTTTAACATTTCAGAATACAGTTGAATCCTATAGTGTGATCATTACAAGATTATTTTCTTGTTCATGATGGTATGATAAAGGGCTTGAAAGAAACACTGGCATTTTAAACTGTTCCATATCTCTTGTGGAAACCGTATTTTTGCTTAATCAAGAAAAATTATATCCTTTTGCCACTAGAAAAAAATGTGATGAACAGCAGCTTTGTAAGTATATAGAGAAAATCAAAGACAGTTTGGGCTATCAGGACACTGGAAGGAAGAGAAATTACCTGTGGGCATTTGCTCCACGGTCCCCATTGAGACATAACACACTCATTGGGGCACAGCAGAGAACAAGACTGGGTTTCCGGAGGAATTTCATCTTGGTTACACAGGCTATTGTCCACTGTCCCATGTTCTGTGTCAGCAGTATTTACACACCTGTGAGGCAAGATTATAATACATATAGATTAGTTAAAACCCCAGAAAGTAAACGGAAAATATTTATTTTGTAATGAAAATTACTCTTCTGAGTGAAAATGGAAAGAATACATAAAATAAGAACAACAGTTGTTGTTTTTAGGTGCTGTTGAGTCAAGTATGATTCATAGCAACCCTGTGAAAAATTATCCGAACCCTGTACTTTCCGGTTTCACTTTCATCATCTCTAGCATACAGGGGTTCACTGCTACAGTGACTATACTGGGTCAGTGAATCTTGTTGAATCAGGTTCATCTCTTCCTATGACCCTCCACCTTTGCAAGCATTATGTCTTCTACCAAAGAAGGATACTATGGAAATCAAGAAACAAAAAATCTAATCTTTGGCTAGTCAGACAATAGAAGTAACTGACTTGAGCGCTTACTCAGTGAGAAATGTTTATTCAGCATAGCAGGAGAAAAGCAGGTAATTATTCTGAGGAACTCAGAATATTTTTAGAATATTCTGCATGGAGTAAATACTAGTTTTCTTATCAGATCTAGAAGCCTCTATTTCTTTAAGTAAATCCATTAGAGGAAGACCTCCATCAAGATAGACTGACAGGGTGACTTCAAAAATGGGCTCAAGTGTTTCAATGCAGTTTACATCATTTATCCCCTCTCTTCTTAGTTTTCCCTCATCACCGATGTCAGTCCTGTTTTATAACAGTGGCATTATGTAGTATCATTAGGTAGTATTTGACCCTTTGTGACTGAGCTTTTTCACTCAATTTAATGTCCCCCATGGTCTTATTTGCATGACAAGAATCCAGAATAAGAGCTGTATAGTAAGGTGGACTCCCAAGGGGGGCGGGGGAGGTGGGGAGTGTATAACAATGAAAAAAATTATCTTTTTCCAAAGAAAAAAGCTAACTGGGGGAGAGTGGTAGGCAGGGATGAAAATGTGCAAAAATGAATTAATGGGAACAAAAGAAAATGAATATATTTTTAAAACGGGCTCATGTGTATCAAAGATAGTGAGAATGGTGCAGGACAGGTCTGTTATTAATAAGATCACTATGAGTCATACTCAACTTTATGGTACCTAACACCACCATCAATATGCTTTCATCAATATGTGATTCTCTTGGAACTTCTCAAAATTGGCCTGTGGTGAGGAGTTATATTGGCAACCAAAGGTACATGGCTCAGATCTATCTGTGATTCTGTGGGAGAATAATGGGCAATCTCCTTCCATGTGATTAACTGCCTCTTAAAACCAGCTGAAGAGTCACTTATCTGTCAGTTCCAACTTGGTAGTACACAACAACAACAAAAGAAAACCAAAAAACAATATCTAAATGTTCCTAATATTTGTCTAAGTCATTCCTTTAAGATCAGAGTAAAATTGTGTGAAACATAATTTAGTAGGAGTTCTGTTATAAATCTAAGGACAATAAAATAAGTATTTATAAGTTGTGT